AAAAAGATTTTATTTATTTATTTGCCAGAGAGAGAGGGAGAGAGAGAGAGAGCAAGCACAAGCAGGAGGAGTGACAGGCAGAGGGAGAAGCAGACTTCCCGCTGAGCAGGGAGCCCCATGCAGGGCTCGCTCCCCGGACCCTGGGATCATGACCTGAGTCGAAGGCAGACGCCTAATGACTGAGCCACTCAGGCGTCCTGTTGCTTTCAATATTTAACAACAGTTATTAAGCACCACTCTGGGTCATGAGACAATACATACCATGAAATAGGACAAGACTATGGATTGAAGTTCAGCGTGTGTGGTGGTTAGGACAATAAACTAGGAGTTCAGAAAAGGAAAAGATCAGTGTGAACTGGATTAGTTAAGGAAGGCTTCATGAAAGAATTTTTAAAACTTTATTTCATTCAGTAAACATTAATAAGCCCTATGCTAGGTACCACAGTATGCACAGGAAGCTTAAAAACACTGAGCCACACAGCCCTTGACCTCAGGGTAATATTTATTTCTGTTGTACTGGAATTAGGTCTATTGGAATATAATGACAGACATGATTTAATCTCCTCTTTTCCCTGAATTGATCTTGGTTTCTTCCCTCAACAACAGGATTTTCAGTTTAGAGCACTGAAGAAGGTGAGAATCTTTGACTCACCTGAGGAGTTGCCCAAGGAACGCTCGAGTCTGCTTGCTGTGTCCAACAAGTATGGCCTGGTCTTTGCTGGTGGAGCCAGTGGGTTGCAGATTTTTCCTACCAAAAATCTTCTGATTCAAAATAAACCTGGTGATGATCCCAATAAGATAGGTAAGTTACTTAGTTTTGTTGCACAGTAGAGAGAGGAATGTAGCGAAGTGCTAATGTAGTGTCCTTCCCAAGAAATCATTCTAGTATATAAATTAAAACTGCTGTTAGTCTTCAAGTTGATCCCCAAGAAGAGTAAGTTCCAGGTAGGATGCTGGAAGCCTTTCTGTTTGTTCTCTTTGGTCCTTTTGGTGAGTTGTTCCTCTGAGCTCAGAAGGAAGAAGAATTGACCATTCTACCATGCTTTTATTTTTGCTCAGTTGAACCTAGGTTCTGGATCTCTAATTTGCATGGCATTTTAGTTCGCACAGTAGTACCATCCAAACAAATAGGAAGCATTGTTGCAAAAATATGGGTATAGGGTATTATTTTTAACAATGGCAACAGCCACAGTTTCCCTAGGTCTTATGAGGAAGAGTCTGGGAAATTTAATGCATCACTCTATATCTGTAAGAAAGCTAAGATTTATCTGCGTGACCAGGTATCAGAGTATGCTTGTATGTTTATGTAGATATGAAAATTGTTTCACATAGACCTGGATGCAGGGCTTGTGGCTTCTGCTTCTGCTTTGTCTTTTCTTATGTTTTCTTAGTTGATAAAGTTCAAAGCTTGCTGGTTCCTATGAAATTCCCGATACATCACCTGGCCCTGAGCTGTGATAACCTCACACTCTCCGTGTGCATGATGTCCAGTGAATATGGTTCCATTATTGCTTTTTTTGATGTTCGCACATTTTCAAATGAGGTAAGCTACTGGCAAACTGTAATGTCAGCATGAGACCTGAAAAGATTTTCTGGTATTGAATCATAACCTAGAATTTCCTGGGTTGACCCTTGGAATCATTTTTTAGATTAAAGTATGGGTTTAAAGAAAGTCCTTAACTGTAGGATCATAGATCTTTGAGATAGAAGGGACTTCAAGAAATTATTTCATAACATTGCCCCAAGGTGTTTTTTCTCATTTGCAAATGAGACAGCCAAAACCCAGGGAGCCTTAGGTGGCTTGCCCAAGGCTGTAGAGTTAACAGTAATGTCAGAAATTCCTACATCCTGGGTCTCTGACCTCTTCTGCTAGTGTTCTTCCATTCCAAGCAGTTTCATAATGAAAATTGTCAATAATTTGAGTATTTATACTGACTGTGTGCCAGGCCCTGTGCTTTATATGTCCTCATTTGTACGTACCATGGCCTCACAAAATAGGTGCTCTTGTCTTCATTTTATAGATGGAGAGACAGGCCCAAAGAATTTAAACATCCAAGGACCCAACACTATTAAGAAGCAGAGCCAAGATTTTAATCTTGTATTGGCTCTTTACTGATTATTTTGCATTTGTATATTCCCCTGGTTGGGAGTCCCTCCAGTGTGCTAGAATAATTGCCTGCCATTTTTCAAAGTTGTGTTGAAATAGTCTGTAACAAATAAATTGTTGTGTAGAGCTCATTTTTTTTTTGGTCATCGTCATGGAGAAAAGTGAACTATAATTTGAGAAAACTTGCATATTCGATATTTTTTTTGACTATTAAATGTATATGTATTTATTAATTTATCAATTTATTTTTGCTTCTGGGCATTTGTTTTAAAAGGCTAAACAGCAAAAACGCCCATTTGCCTATCATAAGCTTTTGAAAGATGCAGGAGGCATGGTGATCGATATGAAGTGGAACCCCACTGTTCCCTCCATGATGGCAGTTTGCCTGGCTGATGGCAGCATTGCTGTCCTACAAATCACAGAAACAGTGAAAGTGTGTGCGACTCTCCCTTCCACAGTGGCAGTAACATCTGGTGGGTAATAAGGCTTTCACTCCATAACATATGGTAATGGTAATCTACTTAAAAATTAATTTCTGGAAATAAATGCAAATGGGGTTTTTTGTTCTATCTGTAGTTGTCTGGTAGAAGTGGAGAGTATTCTTTATTTCCATAGTGAATGTTTGAAGCCAAACAGCAGACATGATTTAACTTGAATGTGTGTGGGTTTTCTGGAGAACGAAATATTTCGGTATAGCGGGTTTAGAAATATGTTTTTGAGAATGATTGTTTCTGGATCTACAAGGGCAGTGGATGGTACACTGAAAGTCATTTGTACCATCATGGGAAAAGCATTACAAATATCGAATATGAGTGAGAGAATGATTTCTTGATACTTGAAAACCTCTATTCTCCTTTAAAGACTATAGAGTTTTCTGTACTTTCCAGCTCTCTGGATGATACTTCATTGAAAAAACATTTTTAGAAGTCGATTTAATGGTCCAGTGATAAGTCATAATTGGTTTGTATCATCAAAATGATTTTTTTTTTTTAATTTTGCCAAATAAGGATGATCCTACTGTCTTCCATAGACTGACAGAGGAACAGGAAGTGGTGATTATATGGCTGTTTCAGTACAGACCTCATTGGTTTGCTCCATTCTCTTCAGTGCTTAATTGGCAGCATTTTCTTCTTTGCTCAGTGTGCTGGAGCCCCAAAGGAAAGCAGCTGGCAGTGGGGAAGCAGAATGGAACTGTGGTCCAGTATCTTCCCGTGAGTCTTGCCTTGGACTTCAGCCCTTTTCTTAAGTTACCCACTGTTTTTTTGGGACGGTTTGGGGGCTCATTGATGTTTTTTCTGTTAAAATGTAATTTATGATCACTGCAACAAATTCATCAGTAAACAAGTGAATGCAGGAAAGAGTGGAACTCTTCCTTTCTATCCCATAGTCCTTCCAGAGGCATGCTCTGTGTTTTATTTAGTGGTAGCCTCCAGACTTCTCTGGATGCTTATACAAATAGTCTGTGTATAGATGCATTACATGTCTACTGTACACACTGGTCATACTTTACACAGTGTTCTCTAACTTTGTATTCCCAATCCATTCCATAAAAACATTCCATCAAAACAGTTGAAGCAGGGGCGCCTAGGTGGCTCAGTCGTTAAGCGTCTGCCTTTGGCTCAGGTCATGATCCCAGGGTCCTGGGATCGAGCTCCGCATCAGGCTCCCTGCTCCGCGGGAAGCCTGCTTCTCCCTCTCTCACTCCCCTTGCTTGTGTTCCCTCTCTTGCTGTCTCTCTCTCTCTCTCTGTCAAATAAACAAACAAATAAACAAACTTTAAGGGAAAAAAAACAGTTAAAGCATAGCATTATTTGTCTGCTAGCTGAATCCATCTCAAAGCTTCAATTTCTCCAACTATAGGCACCCAAGACAATGGATGCCCCTGTCACTCTGTCATCCTCTCCCTGTGGTCTTCCTGAGATAATATTCATAGATATTCTTCAGTATAAATTGACAAAGGATGCATACATGTTCAGTCAAGCCTCTATGGGAAGGAGGGGTCCACAGGCAATACCAAGGCCTATGTTGCTATGCATTTCTCCTTGAGAGACTGTTCTCCGTGGGTGTAAAGCCCGGAATGTAGTGGTGTGGGTTTGAGGTTAAGGTTTTATTTCTTGTTATTGCAGAAAGTTGTTATATGAAATTTGGTACATATTCTTTTAGGGCGTTAGCCTGTAAAAAGATAATTGGCTTAATTTTATTGGTTTGCTCTTTGCCTTTTTTGTCTGAAACATAATACTTTATCAGGGTCTTTTTTCCAACATATCATATATGAAACCACTTCATTCTTTTGAATGGCTACAGAGTAATCCACTGTGTGAATGTACCATACCTTACTTCTGTATTCCGTTATTGGTGGCTGTCCGTGTCAGCCTGTGTGGCTTTGCTAGTATGCGTGGCATCGCCTTGAGCATCCTCTCTCTACGCCTGAACACATTTGTGGGAGATTTCAGTAGGACGGGATCCTGGAGGTCGTCATTCAGTCTGCCCTGCGTTCAGTCTCTCCTGGCTGGGAAGATGAAACACAGTGATTTCTGGAGGGAACATACTGGATTTGACAGAGTTTCAATGGTTTAGGTTTATTTCATTTGACGCTCTCCCCCCTCCCCACCCCCAAATCTCTTTCAGACTTTGCAGGAAAAAAAAGTTATTCCTTGTCCGCCGTTCTATGAGTCAGATCATCCTGTCAGAGGTAACCCATCTGCTTTTCTTACTGGGTCGACCTCTAATGAGGTGACAGTATTACAGAAATTTCACATCATGTGATGCAGCTACATGCCCACTCAGGAAATTGTTAGTGCCTCCTGCATGAATACTCCCATTATTACAGTTAGCTAATTAAGTTGGCGTAACAATAATTTTCTGGTAGACACCTGTGTCTCGTGGTAAATAACAGTAAATGGATCCTGATATTTTATTAGAATTCTTTCAAAATTTGCCCTCCTTGCAATCTGCCAGAAAAAAAAATACCACTTTGGGATGAATTTGGGCTTCTTGAATTCTTTGTGTTTGTGAATTATATTTAGCCAGTGAAATCTGGACCTTAGTTAAAACTATCGCACTCTGATTTTTTTATCCATGGGTTGTTAATTTTTTAACATACAGGAGCTGTTCCAAACATAAGATGCTTTATTAGAGTTTATGTATTTCAGTTCTGGATGTGCTGTGGATTGGTACTTACGTCTTCACAATCGTATATGCTGCTGCAGATGGGACCTTGGAAACTTCTCCAGATGTGGTGATGGCTCTCCTCCCGGTATGTGTATGAAAGGGACATCCTTGTCCTTTGAGAATCCTAGAGGTCCTCTAATTAAAGTTCAAGGCTTTGGCTTTAGTTTCCTTTTTTTGCTGGCAGGGATGGTACAACTTCAAGTGTAAAACTTTAATGCTGCACCATGGGCCTGGGGGCCAAAATTATGGTGTCTGCTTACAGCATATTCTCCTGGTTAGTCGTAAGGTGAAAAAAGTCCTAAAAGTTGCTTTTGCTTACACCGTAAACTGGGAGCCCTGGTAGCTGTTAACCTGATAAAGTGGTTTTAGAAAAGCAGTTAAACACTGTGATTTTTACAATTCTTTCACATATTTATATTGATCAGATGTTTCTCAGATGCCTGCAGTGTGCCAGGCACTGCTTTAAAGCTGAGCATACAGTGGTGACTGAGGCAGAGTCCTTATTTTTGTGGATCGGACATTCTGATGAATGTGCTAGTCAGTACATAAGTGTAGATCAAGGAATGACAAGGGCGATGGAGGGAACAGTGAAGGGTATGGAGCAGATGATGACAGAGGTGCAGTGTGGATTGGTGCTCAGGGAAGGCCTCTGAGGAGGAGACATTTGAGCAGAGGGTGGAATGACCGAAGGGAGTAAGTCATTTTGAAAACATGGAAGAACGTTAATAACAGGATCTACAAAATGTCACTCAATTGCAGTGGCATTTAAAAAAAACAAACGAGGTAGAGCTTATGTTTTCAAATCAGTACTGGCTTTCAAAGTCCAAAAAAAGTTTAAAAATACATAAATGTCTAAACGTAACAAAAGTGGGAGTTGCACGAGTTATTCTGTCTTGCAACTTTGTGGTAAATAGTAAGCATCTTTCTAAGTCAGTGAATACAATCTGTGTTTGGCTTTTTGGACAGATAATTTATTTAGCTCTTTCACTGTTGGATGCTGAAGTTGTTTTCAGTTTTCTCCTGTTCTAAGGAATACCATGATGCGTTCTTTTATGTGACTATGTTTATTTTTTAAGATAAATACCTAGAAATGAGTTTGGTTGAGTGGTATATACTAAGCTTTTGAAAACGTTGCCAAAGTATCTTTTAGAAAAGTTGTAGCCGTTTATACATCTCCCACCAGTGGGGATCCCAGTTGCCCCACGAGTGTGTCAAGATGTAGTGATAGCATTTTTAATCTTTGCCAGTGATATGTAGAAAAGGGCCTTGTTTTTATTAAGTTTTGGGTTCCTGATAATGTTTAATTTTAAAAATATGTTTATTAAGGTCCTTATTTCAAGAGCTCATTAAGATTTTCTATTCCCAGGGATAATATCAGCTCTGGCGTTTATGGACTCTTTCTTAGGTTCCATGTCCTGGGCTAGAAGCTTTATAGGTATCATTTTGTTCCACACTTAAGGCAGCCTGTGGAGTAAGTTCAGCAGGCCCACTACAGACATGAGAAAACAGTATCAGACAGGCCAAGCAGTCTATCCATGCTTGTCCCACGGCCAGGAAGTGACAAGGCAGTTTGAATCCAGTTTGGTTAGTGGTCACCATTCATATTTCCCAACTGCTCAACTCTGCCTTTCTAGCGTGTCTGTATATTTGGACATAGATTTTTGAGTGAATTTTCTCATAAAACAGAAGGGGTTTTCTTTTTCGAGATCCTTAACTGTATAGAATTAAAGAAAAATTGCACGTGGGATTCTTTTTTTCTCCTTTTGTTTATTGTAGAAGAAAGAAGAAAAGCACCCAGAGATCTTTGTGAACTTTATGGAGCCCTGCTATGGCAGCTGCACAGAGAGGCAGCACCATTACTACCTCAGTTACATCGAAGAATGGTGAGCTGAGAACCCAGCAGGGACTCCTCTCTGTCGGGTCCCACCTGCATCGCTCTGTTCCAACTTCGAGATTCTTTCCTTTTCTTTTCTTTTTTTAAAGATTTTATTTGTTTATTTGAGATAGAGCAAGTGAGAGAGCAGGAGCACGGGAGCAGAGGGAGAGGGAGAAGCAGGCTCTCTGCTGAGCAGGGAACCCGACGTGGGGCTCAATCCCAGGACCCCAGGATCATGACCTGAGCCGAAGGCAGACGCCCAGCCGACTGAGCCACTCAGGCACTCCTGAAATTCTTTTCTGGAGGAAAGGAAAGCGGAGAATTGAGATGCCCTTGAACATATTTTGCTCTGATGCTGGATAATTCGCCTCTCTGACTACTTCCGTTTCCCCAATCTTAAATTATCTAGATTGAATACTTACTAATCTTAAAAACCCTGTTTTCTCAGTAACACCCGTGAAGACTTACAATACTGATATTTAAGGACTGTATTAAAAGTTTTCCTCTGAGAGCAGAAGCTTCCCCTTGAAAGATAGATAGCTTAAAACAAAGGTTTTTTTCTGAAAATTCACCAGATTATTCTGTTTACAGGGCAGTAGATTTATTGGAAATTCCGACTTGATTTTGTTGTGTCTCTGACCTTCGTCAGGGCTTTATCGTATGAACTAAGAAGTTAAGCTTTACATCTAAAATCTTCTCACCTTTCTTCAGCCATGAAGAAAACCTCACCTTCTTCCTTGACATCTCGAGAAGTCCTCATGGATGCCACCGCAGGCTCAAGTCCGGTTAGAGCTGTTGCTACGTTTCAATTTAACCGTCTTCCACTTTTCTTCCTTGAAGGGATTTAGTGCTGGCAGCATCTGCGGCTTCGACAGAAGTCAGTATCCTTGCTCGACAGACAGATCAGGTAAATTTCACTCTTTGGTCACTTCCATGGGATACTTTTCTGAGAAAGATTCTAGAGGGAGTTAACTATGTGGAGAACGTTTAGATGAAGCCACGTCCCTTTGGATGAATTTCTGGGTGAGAGCAAAGCTGACACTTGGCTGACGTGACAGAGTGCCTTGGCCAGGTGCCTTGGATATTGCCCTGGACACATACGGGTTTCAGACTCAGCAGCGCCTCCACTGTCATAAAAAAGCCCTGTCCTTTCCCGATCCACTCACGATTTGTGGAAACATATGATATAATCAGCTTCCCACAGGAGCACACCTGGGTGTGTAGGAGGGTTTTCTGCCTTGTTCTGTTTTACCATCTTTATTTTCTTCCTGTTGCTTGAACCTGCCCCTTCTGTTCAGTCACCTCTAACCCATCCTTGATTAATGGAGAGAAACATGCAGATCGTACCAAATTGTGACTCACCAGCAATACTTTGTTTCACTTTGAAAAACCACCAGAGAGCTAAAAGCACCTGTGTGTGTAAGCACCCACCTCCTTTCTGGCATTTTGTCCTCCTTGCAGAGAGGAATTGGGCTGAGGTGATAGTGGTAAGCCATCCTAAACCAAGGTAGGTTATACAGAGTGACCATAGAAGGATGTGGTGAAAGGGAAATTTTTCTTCCTTCTTTTTTTTTTTTTTTTTTTTAAGATTTTATTTATTTATTTGTCATAGAGCGAGAGAACACAAGCAGAGGGAGAAGCATACTCCCTGCCGAGCAGGGAGCCTGATGTGGGACTTGCTCCCAGGACCCCGGGATCATGATCTGAGCCGAAGGCAGACGCCCAACCTACTGAGCCATGCCCAGGCGTCCCCCGTTTTTTGTTTTTTTTTTTAAAGATTTATTTATTTATCTTAGAGAGTGTGCACGTGCAGGGGGGAGGGACAGAGGGAGAGGGAGAAAAACTCAGGCAGACTCTGCACTGAGTGCAGAGCCCTATGCAGGGCTCGATTCCAAGATCATGACCTGAGCCGAAACTGAGGGTCAGGCGTGTAACTGACTGTACCACCCAGGCACCCTAGGAAACTTTTCTTCTTAAAACTCTGCCTTGAATTTAAAAACGTGTGTGCCCCACACACAGAGACTTAGGCTTCTCCAACCATTCAGTATTTATCCTTCATTCTCTGGGTGGCAAGGTGGTCCATTGTAAGTGTGGCTCTCATAGTACCTAGGGTGGGCCACTTTGGGGTCACAGGCCAGCGTTCAGCAGTCTGATGTGAAGTCTTAGATTGTCTTTAGTAACAATTTCCTAAGAGCACAACTATTTTATGTACGGACACATTTAAAATATACTTGTATTTTTGTATCTTATCTGGATAATTTATGTATGTGGCTAAAAAATCAAACAGTAGAAAGGGTTTATAAGTGAAAAAAATATTACCCCTGCCCTACCCCATCCTTATCTAGCCCTGTTTACAGGGGACCTTTTTTATCTTGTAAATTTTTACTTTTAAAGATTACCTCCTTATCTCTAAATAATCTTCAGGGCGCCTGGGTGACTCAGTTGGTTAAGCGTCCGACTCTTAATTTTGGCTCACATCCTGATCTCAGGGTTGTGAGATAGAACCCTGTGTCGGGCTCTGTGCTGGGCATGGAGCCTGCTTAAGAGTCTCTCTCCCTCTGCCTCTCTCCCCACCTCTAAAAAAAAATAAATAATAATGTGCTTCATCATTAGTTAGCGATTATTGATTTTAGACCTTAGCATCTGTTGTGGCAGGTAAGGATATAGCTCACATGTGGCCCTTAAATTCTCATCCTTCCTCTCGGCTTACAGCACTGTTGTAGGTTCTTCTGTTGGTTACCTTTGTAACCGTAAGTAATATTTTTTACCTTCGTTTCCTTATGGTGTCACCATACGCAGTATCTCGTGACCTACTATGTGAGAAGAGGAATGCCTTCTCCCCCACCCTCGCCTTTAGCACACCTTCCCCCACTCCCATCCCCTGGCTGTTGTCATCTGGCTTGTCTTTTGCAAAATCTAAACTCGTACTGTTTGCATTCTGTTCTGTAGTGATTATTAAGTCTTTTTTATTTTGTCTGTAGATTGTTTTTCAAAGTTGAAGTCAGTTTTGTTTACATTATTGTGAACGTGACTATTGTTCACACCATAGCTAAGTCATGGAGTATGATTATGTTCCCTTTCCTAAACAGCTTTTTGCTTTTTTCTCTGTTATTCATGGAGCATTATTCCCTTTTGATTCATGCTGCCCAGTTTTGGTCCACACTGAAAGTTACATAAATGTAGTGATTTTAAAAATCAAAAATCATTGGTGGTGCCTGGGTGGTTCAGTCATTAAGCGTCTGCCTTTGGCTCAGGTCATGAACCCAGGGTCCTGGGATCAAGTCCCACATTGGGCTCCCTGCTCGGCGGGAAGCCTGCTTCTCCCTCTCCCACTCCCCCTGCTTGTGTTCCCTCTCTTGCTGTGTGTCTCTCTAATAAATAAAATCTTAAAAAAAAACAAAAACAAAAAACTGGCATGGGGAAAATCAGCTCAGAACTGTGTGTATATATATACACACACACTGCTGTGTCCCTACTTCACATTTACATAAAGGGGGACTCCGGGGGCGCCTGGGTGGCTCAGTTGTTGGGCGTCTGCCTTCAGCTCGGGTCATGGCCCCAGGGTCCTGGGATCAAGCCCCACGTCAGGCTCCCTGCTCCGCGGGAAGCCTGCTTCTCCCTCTCCCACTCCCCCTGCTTGTGTTCCCTCTCTCGCTATGTCTCTCTCTGTCAAATAAATAAACAAAATCTTTAAAAAAAAAAATCAGAAATCATTTATTGGCAGGCATACAGCCCATTCAAGCATAGACATAAGCAGAAGGGGAGTTTATGGGAAGGACTTAGTGGTTTGTAAACAGTACGAGTTTTGATTTTGCAAAAGGCAAGCCAGATGACAACAGCCAGGGGGTGGGAGTGGGGGAAGGTGTGCTAAAGGCGAGGGTGGGGAAAAGGCATTCCTCTTCTCACAAAGTAGGTCACGAGATACTGCGTATGGTGACACCATAAGAAACTTAGTGGTTTCTCAAGGACCCCAAAGGCAGGAAGAGGGGCCCGTGTGAGAAATGCCAAGATCTGGGAAGACAAGAACTAAGGGTAACTCTCCATGGATAAGTGAGCATAGGGCATCTGGCCAGCTTTATAAGCCACACTGCTGAAGACCACAGTAGCAATCAACTGGAGTTCCTGGTACCAGTCCCACATTTCTAGGAGCAACTGATAACTGGTTGGTGCAGGTATTAAGATTCACCCACCATTTTTAGGAATCTACCTAGTTGGGGTGGGTGGTTCCTTGGAAAGTGTTCATGATAGTGATTATTTATTCACAAGGCAGGGACATGGTATACCAGGAATACATAGGTTAATCTGAAAAATTAACCCCTCACTTGCTAGGATGCTCATGGCTTTTAGACCATCTTCCCAGATTTCAGTCTAGTCAATACATAAATCTAAACCAAGTGACTTGTCTTTTCTTCTCTCCTGTTTGAATAATGGGAGAACCAATGCAAAGCTCTAACCAACATAGCATTTTCATCTTCTTTTTTCCAGATTAATTGGGAATCTTGGCTTCTGGAGGATTCTAGTCGAGCTGAATTGCCTGTGACCGACAAGAGTGACGATTCGCTGCCCGTGGGCGTTGCCATCGACTATACTAACCAAGTGGAAATCACCATCAGTAAGTATGGCCTGACATAGCTCAGTGCAGAAGTGGTCTTCTTTGTAATGGTGGTTGATATTTAAATCCTGTTCTGCGTGTTCGTGACAGAATCTACTCTGTGGGGCACTTTTAACTTCTGGTGGCACATTTCCACTTGAAGAGTGATACAGAGTGTGTTGTGACAAGACTGGATTAACTTGATGGACATTCATTGATAAGACAAAAGCCAAACTCTGCGCGCGTACACGCGTATCTGTACGTGCTTTTGCATGTGGGCGAAATCTAGAACAGGGATCTCGTCACCCTGTTTCTCTGAGCATTCCAGTTCCCCCGTGGCCTCCCACGGGAATAGCTGCCTGGCCCAGTCCTGCATAGCAGTGCTTGGTGTGAAGACATGGGTTAGAGAATGGGGACCTCAGGTACTTGGCTTCCAAAGCGGGCCTGAGTGTGTGCTCTGAGTGTGTCTTCTCCCTGCTGGGACGTGGCAGAGCTGCACACGTGCCGCGGAACACGTGTTCTCTGCTCTTCGGCGCTTCAGCGTAGAGAGGTGTCCTCATCGAGCACCGCTAAGCTCCTTCCTGTCCTTTCCCTGGTCAGATCATTGGGTCTCCTTAGCTCATATACTCTGATTCTCTTCAAGTCTTAGTTGACAGAATACAAGTTAGGATTCAACTGTGAATGAATATAAAGTAGTTTGACTCACCTTTCTGTGTCCTTCCATGTGTTTTCCAAAGTGTGTAGTCCGTCACTTTTCTGCTAGACCGGCCCCCTCCTAGAGACGCCTGTCTCGGTCAGGGGAACATCTTGAACACTGAGACACTCGTAAAAAATCATGGGAGTTTAGGGACAGTCACGGCTGCCGCAGTCTGCTGGAGCTCCCCTGCGGGGCCCAGCAAGACAGTGGCAGTCGATAATGGCAGGAGCGCTCTTTCAAGAGCTGATGCTCGAGAGGCTGTTCGGGTGTGAATGGGAACAAACAGACTTGAGCTACTGTTGGGGCCAGTCTGCTACACCCCTTCTCGCTCAGGGCAGTCTTTCCCTTCCCACCCAGGCCCTTCATGACTTGGCTGTTTTTTCACTTGCACTTTCTTTTTTTAACAGATGATGAGAAGACTCTTCCTCCCACTCCAGTTCTTATGTTACTTTCAACAGATGGTGTGCTTTGTCCATTTTATATGATCAATCAAAATCCTGGGGTTAGGTCCCTCATCAAGACGCCGGAGCGGCTGTCATTAGAAGGAGAGCGACAACCCAAGTCATCAGGTACGTGTCTCTTCCTGCTCTGGCACAGAGGGAATACCAGGGGCTTGTTCCGGACCGTTGCCAAGGATGAACACTGTGTAGGGACATATAGTGGTCCTTTTCACCAGGCCAGTCTGTCTTAAAGAGGCAGGGACCAACTTTTCCTTGAACATACGCACATTCTTGCATCCCCTTGCCCACAAGCTTTATTCTCCAACCTTTACTTTAGGGAAAATGAAGCCCAGCCAGATGGATCCCATCAGGTAATCTACCAACAATATCCTGTTACAGCACCCTGTATTATATGGTCTGAATCCTAGAGACATGTGCAGTCCTGAGGGATTGGTTAAATATGTGGTTGTACATGCATACAGTGAATGCCATGTAACTTAAAAATGTTGCATTTGTTGACAAAGTGCTAGTGGAATATATCATGAGAAAGTATTATATACTTTATGATTCTTTTCTCATGAGAAAAAAATATATACCTAGGGAATACTAGAAAGGTGGATGTTAAAATCTAAATAGTGGTTATATCTGGGTGGTGGGAACATGGAGATTTTGTTTATATTTAATTTTCTTTAGGTTTTTTTTCCTTCTCTTCTTTGAAAATATTGCTTAAGTAGTATATGTTTACTGGAGGAAAATTAGAAAATACAAAATTACTTAAGAGCCTATCAGTCATCAAGCAGTAGCCATAGTCAACATTTTGGTGCCTATTCTTTATATACATAAATGCACACATGCAGACGCTAATTTGTATTTTCACATTTTTCACAGTGACAGTGTATCATTTGTGAGAACAAAATATAAAACTTTTTTTTAAATATATATACATATATATATACACATATATATATTTTAAAGATTTTATTTATTTATTTGAGAGAGAATGAGATAGAGAGCATGAGAGGGGGTAGGGTCAGAGGGAGAAGCAGACTCCCCGCCAGGCAGGGAGCCCAATGCGGGACTTGATCCTGGGACTCCAGGATCATGACCTGAGCCGAAGGCAGTCGCTCAACCAACTGAGCCACCCAGGTGCCCCCAAAATATAAAACTTTTTAAAAGAGGATTGTTCCGTATTTTAAAATTTCACCACTATTTCTCTGTGAATTCTGTGACTATATAACTATCTCTGGCGAAAAAATGTGTGGTGTAACCAGTTCTCTATCTAAGAAAAAGCATGTTGACTAGCCAGGTTGGATAAGGTTGACACTATTTTCTTGCTGCTTCCCAGTGCAGAGTGGGTGGTTCATAAATAGAGCCACCAAGACACTTGGGCTCCTGTCATTTGGCAGTGTGACCCCAAGTAGTAAACCAGGTGACTGCGCATAGTCTGTATTAGCGTTGTGCTGGGGCATCTCATCATCTACAGTGTATCCTCTTTGAGTTGTTTTTTTCTTTAAGCGCTCCTGAGTACCACGCACTGTCTACACTCAGTTGCACAGTCTGTCTCTGTCCACAAGAAGTACACCCCATGAAGTTGGGGGCTACTAGCCCATCAAACCCCTGAGCACAAGCAGAGGCTAGTTTTATTGTTCACCTCTCCTAGAGAAAGCCCCCTCTTCCTTAACACTTGGTCCAGAGGAGGCAGCCATGTTCAGATGAGTGGAAGAGAGCCTTGGAAGGGGGAGAAAGTAGCCTGCCAGCTGTAGCTAAATCCTAGGCGATGGGTCCAGGAGATGTTAATGGTTCTGCCCATTTCCATGCTACAGCTCCACGGATGCTGGGGTGAATGATCATGGGGGTTTTCATATGTTAGGAAAGTGCCTCTTGATTTCTTTCGGGTCTGGCATATATTTTTCACGTTGGTCTTTTGAATGTGCGTGGAAGTGATGAACATCTCTATGTTCATGTCTTTAAAGAAGTTAGCTGTCTCTGGTTCCATATTTATTGTGTGAAAGAAGTATTAACAATAAATTTGCTTGCATTTTTACACTTCCATAAAAGTGGCAATTTACTGGGGTTTTCTTTTTCGGAAATATTTTCATACTTGTATCCTAAGTGTTTCATTACTTTTGACATAATGAAGGTAAATTATCAGTCAGCTCAGACAGTTTGGAAGAATCAAGACCCAATAACAAATGTATTGATAAAAAATATTGCTTTCTTATTTATTTATCGAGTTACTGAGTTTGGCAAATTAACATGTTTATAGAAAGTTTGGAAAATAGAAAAATATTTAAACCTGCCTTCCCTTCTAGTGTTTTTTCATAAACATCTTTCTTCATAGTTGTAATCCTGTTGTATACATCATTGGTGTGCAGGCTTTTAATTTAAATTTTGTTTCTAGGTTCTTACGTAATCTTTGGGATTCATTTAAGAGTGCTTACTATTCCATTGAACATCTTTTACCTTGGGTTGTATTAAATGTCTTTATCATGTCTTAGGTATTTTTGTAGGCTTTATTCTTAGAAGTGGGATTACTAAATCTATTTTTTATGATTTTGAGATACAATGCTAAAGTGTTTTCTAAAAGGTTATGCTAAATTAGGTACTGGTGTAAAAGGTTTCAGGTTCATTTTTCCCTTCCAAACATAGGGGGTTATACATATTTAAATTTTGATAATTTAGAGAACAATAAAAATGTGCAGTCATTTAAATTTGCACTTCTTTGATTAGACAGATTGAAGTATTATTTTACAAATTAGGTTCTCAACTTATATCCAGGTTTTGAAATTTCTTTATCTTGATTTGTATGAGCTTTTTAAGAAATACAAAACATGGTTACTTACTACAGATTTTTTTAGTTATGTAACCGTTTTTACTCAGTCAAATCTCAAATCTTAATCTTTTCCTTTTGTGATTTTCTTTTTTTTTTTTTGGTTACTTCCAAATTTCAAGTTGTTAGACTCTTCGTGACTTGACTCACTTTTTGCCTCCTTTGTTTTGAGAGGCACGCATACATGTGCTTCCGTATGTGTAGACATCTTTAATTTAGCTGGAATTGGTTTTAGTGACTATTATGAAGTGGAGGTCTGAATGAAAGTTTTTTCCTGATTGCTGTGAAATGTTGCAAAATGGTTTTTCACTGTAACGTTGAGACATGCATTTTGTCCCCCCTGTCCGTGAAGTCCTATTAATCTAACGTCTTTCCCCGTCTTCTTTTTCCTTCCAAGTTCTGTCCATCTTACCATGTGGAAAGTTTGCTATGGCAAGTCCACCATCCACCCCACTCCCTTTTTTCCCCCTCTTGAACTAGGACTGAACGTTCATTCTGGCTTCGTTCTGCCATGAGCCCTTTTCCACTTGCTTTCTGTCGTGTGGACTTCCATTGTTACAATGCTAACTTCTCCCTTCCTTTTTCTCCATTTTGTTCACTGCAGGGAGTACTCCCACTACCCCAACCTCCTCTCAAGCCCCACAGAAGCTCGACACACCAGCCCCTGCGGCACCCGTCCCTGGTCCACCTTCGTCGCTGGCTGCTCCTCCCTCCACCTTCTCTTTGCCTTCTGCTGTTGGAGCTCCTGCACTGTTCTCCTTCGGTTCTTCCTCCTTGAAGTCATCTGCTTCTGTCCCAGGCGAGCCCCCTCCATATGCCAGTGGCTCGGGCGCATCCACCTTCTCTTTTGCTCCTCCTCCTCAAGCCTCCCTAGCTCCCACCCCTGTAGCCTCTCCCATGACGCCGTCCGCTGCCTCGTTCTCCTTTGGATCCTCGGGTTTTAAGCCTGCCCTGGAAAGCACACCGATGCCGAGCGTGTCTGCTCCAAACATAGGACTGAAGCCCGCCTTCCCACCCTCAGCCTCCTCAGTCAAGGTCAACCTTAGCGAGAAGTAAGTAACACTTGAAGAAAGTTTGCTGCTTCTGTGGCATGAGTAAAAATATCACGTGTTATTCACTGGAAATAGAGTCACTGTGGGTGAAGTTACAAATAGATTTTCACTTTTTTCTTGTTTTCCAAAGTAATAATGGCAAGTGGTAAGAATTTAAACAACATAAAATGTTTGCGTTTAATCAGTGGGTGGAGTCCAGAAGAGTCTCTTCGAATTTTTTTTTAAATCGTTAGAGGTTTATATTTATATGCTTGTTTTTGCTTTTTCAGATTTAAAATGTAGGAGATTCTCCTTATTTTCTATTTACATATATATATAGAGAGAGAGGGCCCGTGCACAGGGAGGGGCAGAGAGAGCGGGAATCCCATGCAGGCTCCACGCCCAGTATGGAGCCTGATGTGGGGCTGGATCTCAAGACCCTGAGATCATGACCTGAGCCAAAATCAAGAGTCGGACCCTTAACCGGCTGAGCCACCCAGGTGCCCCGATATTCCTTATTTCAAAAGATGAAGCAATAAGGAATACACGTCCTTGGTGGGAGGTGGGGGGATGAATCTCTCATAGTCCTTTTCCCCTTTACTCTCTGAACTGCTTAGTGACAGCCACCACAGTCATCTGTGAAGTTGTACCTGTGTCAGGTGACTCTCCTGCCTGACGGGCCCCAGGGGCTTCTCACTTCTTTTCCAGGACAGTCCAGACTCCTTAACACGGTCCTCCGTTTCCTCCCCATGTGGTCCTACCAGCTCACTCAGATCCCATTTTTTACTTCTTTATCTGCTGCTTGTGTTCTCCCCGCTGGAGTGTAAGCCTCCTGCAGAAAGTGGTGGCTGTTACCGCACACCCCTCCCAGCCTGCCCGCTCTCCTGTCTGCTGGCTCTCATTGCCGCAGAGGCGGTGCTCGCTGTCGCCCCCGCTGCTCCCGTTGTCACACGGCCACCTCATTCTAACGGCTGCCTGGGATTCCACTTTGTAGCCTCGCTGAAATGTCTCTGGCCAGCCCACTCATGCTGGACAGTTAGATTGTTTCCGGGCTTTTGCTCTGTAGGGAAGACTTAACTTTCCATGCCCGTGAGCGTCCCAAAGCTGGTGATCTGCTCCCCTCTGCCTTTCTCACTCCCCAGAGGGGGTGAGTGCCCCAAAGCGAGTCCTCGGTAATTTCCTCGGCAGGACAATACTAGCCCCTCCTAAGTATAATGGAGTCCCAGCCTCCTTTTTTTTTCACTTGGCTTGATAAAAGAAAAATATTTCACGTCCCGATAAACTTCATTTCTCCTTCATGTTAGGTGCTCGTTATTTTCATGGAGTAGTTGACTCCTCAATACGCAGAAGATAAGATAAATGTTGCCTTGCAGCGTTCACCGTTTGTAAGCAATAGCTAAACATTCATGTTTCACGAAGGCAAGCCCATAGGAGCAGTGAGTCACCCATTGGTGGCACTGTTCACGACCAGTGTGAAGGAGCCTCAGCGCAGGCGCTCCTCACGCGGCCGGGCCGCCGTTTCAGGTTCACTGCCGTGGCTCCCTCCACTCCTGCCATCAGCTCCCAGGGTGCGCCTGTGACACTGCCGTTCCCCTCTGCCTCCAAGCCGGCTGCTTCTGGACCCCTCGGCCACCCCACGCCGCTCTCAGCACCACCTGGCTCTGTGTCTTCGAAGTCCTCAGTCTCTCCCTCAGCATCAGGTATGATTTTAAGCAAACTGCTGCAGAGCTCAGCCCCGAATTCTGACATTTGCGTGTTTCAGTTGTTAGGAACCCTAGCCACCGTAGTCAGACTAGATCGCCGTTCTTGCTTCCTGTATCTCACACTGGTGAGCTCTGACGGTTGTACTCTCCGTTGGGGGGGTTGCCGCGGCCTGGGTGCGGCCACCCTTGGCTCTCCAGATGTTTCTCATGGAGCTAAGTGTACTTGATGACACAAGTCTCTTGTTGTGTGACATCTGTCTTCATGTGGAGCCTGCCCTACGTGAAGGGCAGTTGTAGAACAATTCATGAAGTTCCATAGAGGAGGAAAAGCCTGCGGTAACTCTTAGGCTTCTCGCTTCTGATGGCTGACTGTGATTTTCACACTCAGCCCTACTGTGAGCAAGTTCTATTAAATAAAGATTACAAGTGGAAATAGTTCTCATAACCAGGTTGGATCGAAGTGCGTGGTACAACTCCACGAGCAAATGTACCTGGTCTGTCTTTTTTCCCTTTCATTCCTGCAGAAAGGTTGTGTGAACTGTGTAATGAAGACTGTGCCCTCCACCAAGGCAATGCTTGGTAACACTTTGCACCATTTGCTTTGTGTCTTTTTAGCATACATTCTTTTGATAAAATCTTTGAGAGTTAGTCACAGAAACTTCACCCCTAAACGCGTAAGCACATACCTCTTAAATACAGGGGTACGTGATACATTATCACACCCAGGAAATGTAACCATAATCTGATCTGTAGCCCACATTGACACTTCCACGGTTGTCCCAATAATGTTCTTTATGGCCTTTTTCCCTCCAGTCAAGGACCACATGTTCTATTCCAGTTTTTCTCTTTAGTCTCATTGTCAAATATTTCTTTGCTGTTCTCATCTTTCTCAGCATTGATGTTTGTGGAGAGGTCGGGCCAGTAGTTTGGGAATAGTCCCTCAATTTGGACTTGATTGTTTCCACACGATGAGATTCTATTTAAACGTTTTGGGCAGTAATACCACATAGGTGATGGGTATCACATCACATGATTTCGTCTTGTCCTGATGTGAGTAATGTGAATTTGCTCATGTGGTTAGATGGTGTTTGCCAGGTCTGTCTCAGTTTTTAAGTGGGTTATTTTCATGAATGTCAGCGATGATACGTAGCCAGACATGTTTGGGTAACCGTTTAGTGTTTGAGTGTCAGGAATAATGTTATCTTGGTAAATATTGAGCAGGCACTGAGCTGTGAATTCCTGGAATCAACTCTCTTGCCTATCTTACCTATTGCTCACGAGAGAAGACTGCCTTGTGGAGTTTGCCAAAGTCACCCCATTCTAGGACTTTCCCTCCAATTCTGAAAGATATCTGTCTCTGACCCAGGAAGTTAAGGAGTCTTGCCTTAGTCTTTTCACATCTGTTTTCAGTGTGGGAGAGAAAATTTGAACTGTGATGCGCATACACGGTCTCCATTTCCATTGCTCACCACCCAGATCTCCACCCCCCTCCCCGCTGGCATTATTTAATTCTTAAAGTTTGGAGGGTCCTGGGTTATTGGATTACAATTCCAGTGAATCCTCTCCCTAACAGTTCAATCAGGCTCTCTGGAGGTGAGGTTTGGGTATGAGTTTTTGGTATATTTGTTTTTTAAAAGCTCCCTAGGTGATTCTAATGTGTAAAAGAGCAAGATTTTTTCTAGAAACTTCCAGTAGGGTCCTGAAGACCCTTTGAGTTCTTACAAGGTAATGGGATTATTTAAACTTTGTCCCCAGTTCCCAGAGGTGCAACAGAAGTCTCTGGGGAGTAAGGATGGGCCGCATGGCCAGCCTCCTGGGCCTGCACAAAACTGCACATACCTACTACTATCAGAGACATTCCAGTTTTATCTGCTTTATAAAAGAGTTTCACATCTAGCTTTTTGTTATCTTGGAACAGGCCTAACAAACTAGATGCTACTCTTGGTAACAAAAACCATGAAACGGGGGCCGGGGACACTGAGAAGTTTATTTTTTTTTTAGATTTGAGGGAAGGGCAGTGCTGGGAGAAATAATGGCAAGAAATGCTCTCTGTTTTCACTGACCTCTTATTCCAGCAGGGCGGTCTACTCAGGGCAGCCCAGGCCCCGTGCCCTCAATGGTACAGAAGTCACCCAGGATAACCCCTCCAGTGGCAAAATCAGGCTCTCCCCAGGTATGTTCAAACCTGACTTACCATGGTGTGTATATTCATCTGTTGCCCCCGTCATGCATGTTTATTATAAAATTGGTTTTCGTGTTTTAGAATTCATGCCTTTGAAATAGTACTCAGAGCTATGTGATGGGAAACACTAAAGTATGAGCTTGGAACATTTATAATGTGTGCTCCTAAAAGCCATTTATCTCAACCCCAGAGTCTTAGCGTTGTTTTCTCTGCTGGTTCCTGAGCTTGTCTGTGCTGTGCTGTTCACTTTGTTGTGTTCTCTCTGTCTGAAAAGACTGTAGTACCTGATTTTTTTCTCTCGTTCCCAAAGAACCTGAGAAATCTATCCATTGCCATCTTTTTCTGTGCTTTCCATAACATCTCAGTTTACCCATAACATCATTTTCCTTAATTTTTTTATTGGCATATAATACATATGGGAAAAAAAGTATTCCCATACACCAGCTGAATATGCCTTGGTAACCAACACTCAGGTCAAGAAATGGCACATTACCAGGACCCCAGAATTCTCCCTCACATGTGCCCTTTTTAGTTACTCCCCTTGCCGAAGGGGGCTCCCTGCTATGATTTCTGACAGTGGAACTTAGTTTGGCCTATTCCTACCTTCTCTAAAATGGAATCACACAGTGTGTATTCTTGTATCGGGCAGTTTGGTTCAACGTTATGTTTGTGAGATTGATCCACATCATTGTGGCTGTATGGAATTCAAGGGGAAGCTATACTACAAGTGTGTATTCTACCCCTGACAGACATCTGAAGAGCTTCCAGGTTTAAGTTACCGCAAATAGCGTTGTTGTGAACATGGGTCACAACATAGGTCTGTGGGTGAACATACGAATGCGTTTCTGTTGGGCGTACGCAGAGGAGTGGAATTGCTGTGTATATTTCTCTTCAGTAAATGCCCACCAGGAGTATATGAGAGTCAGCTGCTCTGTATCCTCACTGGTCTTTCTAGTTTTCATTTTTTATTGTCGTATTTTGTGGTTTTAATTAGTATTTCCCTGATGACCTCTAAAATTCAGCCTTTTTTCCATGTGGTTTTGGCCATTTGAATATCTTCTTTAATGGGGTGTCTGTTCTCAAGTCTTTAATCTATTTTTCTATGGGGTTATCTGTCTTCTTACTGATTTCTGTAAGAGTTCCTTGTCGGGTACACACATGCATGTGTGCACACACATAATGCAAATACTTTCTCTGTAATTGCTTTTTCATTCTGCTTGTGGTGTCTTCTGATGACAAATTTTTAATATAGTTCAGTATATCACCTTTTCTTTTAGGTTAGTGCTTTTTGTGTTCTGTTTTAGAAATTATTTCTGGGTCCAAGGTCAAAAAGATATTTTCCTGTGTTTTTCTAAAAGCTTTATTATTTTCTTTTCATATTTAGATTTACAATCTGTCACCTCAGTTTATTATTATGGTTTAACTTCAAGAGAATTTTATGTCACTTTCCCACTTGACTTGTGTGCCCTCAGGACCAGAGTCATGGTTTTTCCTTCTCTTTCCCCACCAGCCTCACTCCTGCCCTCAGCACACACCCCAACAGGGCACACAGTAAATGCCCTGTTTACAGGTGCTTTTGGCATAATGCTTAACTTGTGGGACTTTTACATAAATGCTTGCTGTTTTACGGGGTTCATAGTAAATGCCCAGCTTATAAGTCTAACTTTTGGCATAGTGCACGACACGTGGTATTTATTAGATAAATGTTTTCTGTTTTAATGATTGCTTATTTAGTCTAAAAATCCTTTATATGGTAATTGCTGTAGGTATCAAATAATCTAAAAGCCATCTCAAGTTACAACGTCTCTACAGCAGAATTCTTGATTTCTGTCTCCTCCAGAACCTGTTCCAGGTGGTTTGCTCAAGCCCCAAACCCAGAAGTCATTCTGGATCCCTCTATTTAACAGAAGCTCCCCCTAGTCCTTAGTAGCGGAAGATCTTGTCAGCTGTACTCTGATGTGGTGTGTGCGTGGCATAAATCCACATCTGTTGCCCCTGTTAGCGTCATTATTTCAGCCCATTGTTGTCTCTTGCCTCGTTACCCTCCTGACTGGTTTCCCTATTTCTTCTCCCTCTCACTGACATCTGTGCTTGATTTAGCAGCAAGAGGGATCTTTCAAAATCATAAATCAAAGAACAAACTCTCCCGGAACTCCAATAGTAGTTTTTCACCGCTCTTAGAAAAACATTCAGACTCCTTGGTTTAGTCATACACGATCTGACCAGCCCTTTCCAGTTCCCTCCCCACCGACTTCCCTGGGCCCGCATTTACTTTATCTCTTGGCCTCCAGCATGCCAGAGTTCTTTCCTGCCTCCCATTCTCTGCGCTTGCTCCTCTCGCTTGCTCCTCTCGCTTCCTGGAGGGTGCCTCCTCTAGAACTTTCCGTAGCTTTCTGCTTTACCTCAGGACTCAGTTCAGAGACTGTGCTCAGTGAGGGCTTTCTGGGCCCTCTCCTCTCCAGTCGTGCCCCCTTTCTCTTCTTAAGTTCCTGTTTACTTTTGTCCTCTCACTCTCACCAGCTGAAATGATCTGACTTGCTTACTTCTTACCTGTCTTAGCCCAGTAGAATCTAGGTTCCAGCAGAGCAGGGACCTCCTCTGTCTTGTTCACCTCTCTCTCCACTGTCTAGAGCATGCGTCACACCAAGGAGGGACCCTGTCAGCACGGGTTCGAAAGAAGGGGTGAGGGAGCAGTGACTGTATCGTGAGGGTGCCAGGCACTGAAGTAGCTGCTTCAAGAAGCCATTCATATGGTGGGTGTGCATCTGTCAACCTTGTGCCTTCCATTTCAGGCGAAACCACTTCAGCCTCCTGTTACAGAAAAGCAGGGACATCAGTGGAAAGAGTCAGATCCTGTGATGGCTGGAATCGGGGAGGAGGTAAAGTCGTTCCTGCAGATTTTTTCCGGAAGTAGCTCTGACCGTGAGACTGGAGTGGCTCTGAGTGCAGACTCGTGCATGACCGTTTTGTTCTGGCATTTGGCCATGGTGCGCCCCGGAGCTGCATGCTGTGAGGGACCAGGAGCCGTGACAGCACCGCTGCCCCGTTCAGACTGAGGGCCTTCCTCTTTTCTGGCTCCCGCAGATTGCGCACTTTCAGAAGGAGTTGGGAGAGCTGAAAGCCCGGACTTCCAAAGCCTGTTTCCAAGTGGGCACTCCGGAGGAGATGAAGATGCTGCGAACGGAATCCGACGACCTGCACACCTTTCTTTTGGAGATTAAAGAGACCACGGAGGTCTGTGCTTACTGACGTTCCTCCTGAGTTGAATTGCACTTTAAAAGTTGCTCTCCTAGCACTCCATTCTTCAAGGACCCCGGTGTTGTGTGGTTGTTTTTTTGGGGTTTTTTTTGTTTTTTAATAGAAGCGTGAGTAGTTTACCTAGGAATGCCCAAGTTCAGATCCTGTCTTCAGCGCTTAACAAATTATGTGACTTTAGGCAGGTTAATGTAGCTACTCTAGGTTTTAGTTTTCTCATATAGAAAATGGAATAATAATAGTTTCTATCTCATTGACAAATACCAGCCATTCCATAAAAGTTTATTATAGTTACTAGTTTAGGTATATTTGAAAATTTACCATATTTTAAAATAAATTGTTAGATTATAGTAAAGAGGTTTATGAGCATATACAATGTAAAAATATCAAGTATTACTGCTGATTCTCAAACCGTCCTGTTTGGTAGGTGCTGTTGCTCTGTGTCTCTTGCAAGTAAGGAAGCTTCAGCATAGAGAGGTGGAATAATCTGCCCAAAGCTACCCAGTTACCATGTGCCACTCCCCGACTGTCTGCCTCCAGAGCCCTGCTCTGAAAACTCTCCTTGGAAAGAGGAGAGTTCTCCAGGGTGTCGGCAGTGGTTGTCTTCAGGCAGTGGGACTCTAGGTACGACCAGTAGCTTTTCTTACTCTTTGAGTTTCTGGTCATTGGAATATGTGGTTTTCAGTGAGGAAGAAAAAATAACTTTAAAAAAGTGAATATTTGTGTTTTTTTCTTTCCAAGCAGTGAATTTCTTTTTTGTGTGAATTTCTTTTTGTGTACTCACAGGTGCAGCATGTAAGCTGTTTGACAAACACCAAATCGTTGTCCTTGATCCGGACAGAAAGGTTTGTTTCTCAGAAATGCTACTCTTTGTCTCAATATGGCCCTTGTACCTTTTCTAGTCTCTTCATGGAGATATCAGTACCCTGAAAACAACTTTACTTGAGGGCTTTGCTGGTGTGGAAGAAGCCAGGGAACAAAACGAGAGGGACTGCGACTCTGGGTATCTGCACTTGCTCTATAAGAGACCCCTGGACCCCAAGAGCGAAGCCCAGCTCCAGGTAGGAGAATCCAGCCCAAATGAGCTGTTTAAAACCAACTCCTGCAAGTCATTCTCCTTTGTCAGGTCTTGATTCGGATGCCTGCCCTTAGGAAATTGTTGGTTTCCTGTGAATAATTTGCCCACTTTCCATAGATGTCCTTGGCCGTGGCCATGAAAACAGCACTTCTCCACTTCATGTTTTGTAGAATTAAAACTAACATTAGAATTCTTGAGTAAACTGTAAGCTTGGTAGAAAGCATACCATTGAAAAAAAATATACCTAAAAATCAAATCATGAATAATAAGGTTTCAGGTCACAACTACTCGTTGAGCGCTAAGTACAGTGCTGGCTGTGTTTTGCACGTTATTTCTAGACTTCAAAACCAACTGCTCTGCAAGATGAGAGTTACTGATCCCATTATACAGTTAAGGAAGTTGGGCCCCATGGTCTAAAGAGCTTGACCATGATGATGATGTTAGTTAAGAGTGAACAGTTGGGGGCGCCTGGGTGGCTCAGTTGGTTAAGCGACTGCCTTCGGCTCAGGTCATGATCCTGGAGTCCC